TATCGCACATCCGCCCGTCCCCTTCGCGTAGCGACTAGATGGTCTTCTCATCGACGGGCCACCTCTATGGCGTTATGCATCGTGCCTGGCCGCTCCAGTCGGACTTCTGCGGCCAGATCGAATCTCAGCCCACCAACGAAGGCTCCTACTAGCGCATCCTCAGACCAATCTCGTACGCGACAGGCAAGTCGTTCAAACTCCTTGATGTATTCATGCAAATTGCCTGTCTGTCGGATTCGTGCGAGGGCCTCATTATAATTATGGTAATCGGACGTGCCAAATCGAGTGAGCAATTCTCTCTCAAAGTCAGCCCATGTAATGACCTGTTGCCGCCTACGGTAGATCCTGGAGAGCCACTGCCACCATACGTTGGCCTCTCCATCCAAGTAGAATGCTGCGTACCTTACTCGATCGTGGCCGTCGGTTTCGTTCAGATTGAAATATTGCGCAATTCGGTTGAGCCACGCCTCTCGATCACTACCTGTGAAGATGGACATCACGAACCTCGGCTTGTCGGGCTTAGGCCGCTCACGGTAGGTGGACGCTTGCGATCACTGATCGAACTCCTCCTCGTGTTCGTAACGCTCGCGTCGCCGGTCCTCGTCCTGTTTGTGCGCGCGCCGTTGCTCGCGCCGATCCTCGCGCCATGGGGATGGTGTGCGTTTGGTGTGCTCAGCGTGTCGGCATGGTTCGCGCCTTGGGGGATCATCGCGATGATGTGGGGGTTGCTGCTGGATCGCGCGCAGAACTTCCTCCAATCATTGTTTGAGTCGTGTGACAACGGCGTTGGTGTTGTTTTGACTTTCGTCGAGCGATCCAAGCCTTCCTTCCATAACCTCGCTCATACTTCGCATATGGATGTCAAGATTATCGATATTATCCTTCATCTCCTTGTTGGCCATGGCTTTTCTTTCTTCTCTCCGCTCTTTGCTTTGTGGACTCGTGGTTGAGATGATGATGATGATGAACGAAAATATTTATGTATATATATATATATTTTTTTTTGATAAGGGGGGACGAAAAATCGAAGAGAAAAAGAAAGGGAATGGGGTAGAAGAAAAACACACGATCAACACCTCTCAATGAAAGCACCAATGATGAGGATCGTGTGTTTTGACTGCCGATAAGCCACTAACCCGCGCCTTGAATCGCCGATAGTGTTCTTCGAGCCACAACAGCGCCTCTTGGAACGAATAAAATTGCAATAGTATTCTGGTGAAAAGACTAAAGCAAAGTTGGAAGAACAAAGTTCTAGATTTCTATTGACTTCTTGGATGATGAAAAATAACATGGGGTAAGGGCCTTTATATAGGCAAAAAATTATATCTAAGCCTAATCTACCTAGGGATCAAATAAAGCAATAAAATATTAAATGTCCTAATTATAATGTTAGTTGGAAACTAGATCTCTTGGTGTGCACTCCAAGCAATCCTCTCTCTCCCATACTCTTGCGCACGCACGCCCTTAGGTCGCTCGCCGCCATAGTCCACGCCCTAGTCCTCGCGGACTGAGGGCTAGACAGCTCTCAGTCCGCGTGCGCCCCGCCCGGCTGTCCACATTCCTCGAGGACTGAGGGTCACGCGTGCGTGCTTCCACGTTGCGCGGTCCTTCTGCGCGTGCTCCCGAACACCGCGGCCTGCGCGTCCTGTTCACCCACGCTCGCGTCCTCCGTGCCCCTTGCCTGCACGCGATAGGCGTCCGCTGCGTGCGTACCGCTGCCGCGTGTTTCGCGAACGTCCTCGCCATCTGCCCGTGTGTCCGTGCGCTGGTCATCTTCACCCGTCGGGCGCGTACTTCCCTCCAGTGCGCGCATTTCTGCCGTCACTCGTGCTTGCCTCTTGCGCGCATGGTAGGCCCGACTGGCGGCGTTCTTGAGCTGTCTAGCCACTTCTGCATCAATTAGGAAAGCCGATGGCGCGCGCATGTGAGGCGGTCGAATAAGTTGGGGCGACAACTAGGAGATTCTAGATTT